GAGGTCTACCGACAAGAATATCCCATCGAAGTAACCGAGGTATTCGACGAGGAGTCGATCGAAGGAAACCTTTTGCTTGATTTCATTGCACATGCGCAGGATTTTCGCTTCAACGGTCACCCTGACAACGTCAACATAGCCTTGCAATGTATCAAGGAACTCTCTATCGTTGAGAATGGAAAGCTTTTCGCAAAAATGTGTGCTGACACACACATTATTTTCAAGTAATTTTTCGTGTAAATTCCTRGAAATGCTTCAGATAAAATTGCTCAGGTTAACGATCGCTCGCKAACTMYTGCTTGCTTAGTAAGCTAGCTACATAACATATGGCAGGATCTTGCCAATTAAAACTGTGCTTGATCGCTGGGGATTGTTTTCCTGTGATTGCGCTCTGTAAATAGTTGAAATGCTTTTCACGTACACATACACAATTTTCAGTGTTGTAACATGGTATATGGGACCAGTGTTCAGTATTTATTATTTTATAGGGATCAAGGACCAGGGTGTTAGCTAGATAAGCATTAAAGAATCATAACCACCCGCCGTACCTTGCGAACCGAAGCGCCATTTTAGGTGGACACGAAAATGGCGGATTTGTAGGATTTCTTAAAGTGAGCGCAAATCGTCTTCCGTCCTTTCAGTTTGGACAGAAATACCTTTAACTAAGTACCTCACAGGTACTATCAATCTATAATTTATTGTATGCTTGACGCATTTAAACGTATGTAAACAATAATACGAGCGCGCAAGGTACGACGGGTGGTTATGATTCTTTAATGATCCAAATATATTGATTGTATTGTCATATCACCTGTCAATCACTTATAACGAATAGTACATATATCTATATAAAAATAAAATGAAATATAAAATATGATAAAGTAATATCTCTCTGCTACTCTTGAGAACATCCAAAGGAGAGCATTGGCTATTATTTGGCCAGATTCTAGTTATTCTGATTCGTTTAGTTAAAGCCAATCTCTTGAGCAAAGGCGCCATGAGAATTGTAAGGAATTCCTTAGGGATATCAGAGCCAAACCAGACARCCCAATTTATTCACTAATTAATGATCGAGTTGTAACCTCTTGTCACGGCATKTCTCTAAGATCTGGAAACAATCTTCGCCCCAATCGTGTGCAAACCAATAGATTCCAAAATTTTGTAACTGTAAAATTCCAAATGTAAGTCTTTTGTCCTTTTTCATTTATTTACCAAGCCTGTAATTCAGTATTATCATTACTGCCAGTGGCCTTAATACACAGTATTATTGTTATTATTATTATATATATATGTGACACTTTAATTTGTATCCTTCTCCTTATAGCACAAATATAGTAGTCGTTGCTGGTTCAGTGTAAGAAATCTCTCTTTTTGAATGCTCAGTTTTTACGGCCGTCCAACACTCTCTGCGTTCGGGCGTGATTCTCTCTCCCTCACAACGTAACACGTGCTTACCCCTTAAGTACTCTCTGCCGAGCCACATGGGACAAGCCCATAACCCTTTGCTACATATACAGCCTTTTGCAAAAATTATGAGAATTGTTGGAATATCTAAATATCATAATATCGAGTGCATGATCCCGCGCGATGCCCTTAGTCCCTTGTCTTTGTTGTTTATTTTTTTTTTTGGCGACTGACTTATCCGTAGTTCTGAACATTTTCTCGATGTCAACAATGAATTATTCTAGCAAACCCGCGTGTTCCGGACAATATATGGATATGGATATTATGATATTTAGATATATAGACAATTCTCATAATTTTTGCAAAAGGCTGTATATAGATCAAATATATAAAT